CCTCCCTGTGTGTGCCGAAACCCGCCGGTGGGATCGCATGGAGGGACTCAACGTCGCTTTAGAGTGTGAGGACAGAGAGGGTTTGAAGGCAGGATGCTTCTATTCTCTCCGTTAACGGGGAGAGAAAGAAAACTGAGCCCTTGCAGCCTGAAATGTGGGTTCACGGTAGATTTAAAAGGGATGCTGTTCCCTCCACCCCCCCGCCAGCCCCTGCTTTACCTTCTGCCTGACACCCTGGGCGTCGGGCACCCCTCCCTGGTGCTGCTCAGCCATCTCCGCAAGGCAGCAGCCCTTATGACAACCAGGAGGAATGAAATTAGAAATCTAAAAGGAGGGCGCGGCTGCCTTGCAATCGGCTGGGGAGAGGGAGAGGAAGAGCAGGATCCCTTGTTAATCCGTGACTCCATTCTCTGACGGGGCGCAGGCAGGCTTCACCCAAGCTTCGAGCCGCTCCGTCGGCTGCACTGGGACGAGCAGCAAAACAACTTTCTGGAAGGAGTTGCCTTGCCAAAGCCATCAGCACCAAAGGCCTTCGGCTTAATTTCAGTTAAGGAAGAGGGGGATGAAACTGCTTTCCTGCCCCCCACCCAAGACTCTGGAAAACTTGAGATAACCTGTGCCAGGCTGACAGCACCAGGAAAGTCCCTGCGAGGCTGAAATAGAAGCAGCAGAGGAAAATATTTTGTAACTAGATAAGGGTCCGGTGAGGTCATTTTTTTTTGGAACAGGGTGTGAGATTTTGGTCACCTTTGTTGACCAAGGGGAAAAAATGAGAATAAAATAATAGCATCGGGCTATTTTGTTCCTCGGAGCAGTTAAATATGGCGGACAATTTGCTCTCTACCCTACCCCATCCCCGCCCTCCCCCCAAGCTGGCTGAGGAACGCAGGCTGTTTTATACATCATTTATTCTGCTGTTTGCCGGAACTAGCCCTGTCGCACAGCATTGCCGTTAAAAATCGTTTTACAGAACAAACTTTTGCATCCAGAAGTGGGTTGGTTCCCAACGTGGCCACGCTGAGCTGCCCTCAAGCTTTTTTGTGCCCCATGAAGTAGTAAAGTGCAGATTTCTGTTTCCTTAAGGGCCAGTTCAGGGAGAACCCGAGGTCTGATGAACTTTTTTTTTTTTTCTTTTTTTTCCTAAGAGGAAATTAAGAAAAAAAGTCCAGTGTTGGATTTACAAACTTCAGTGCTCAGAAGAACTGAGGACTAAAGAGCGCGCTGTGCTTGACTTCCCTGCCTGGGAGGGGTTGGAGCGTCTGGACTGAATTTCCCGATATGCCTGTGAAAAAAACTGCAGTAACGTTTCCGTTGTTCGTAAGCTTCCAGTTTTCATCGAGCTCTGGGGCTCTCCTGGCATGGGCACCACTGAAAAAGCCACCCGGGGCTGAGGCTCGTGGTTGGGCTCTCTTATCATCCTGCCTGTTTCTACAGGAGCTTTTCCCCTCTGCTGCGTCTCTGCTCCCTGTAACGAGGCTCTGCGATGCTTTATCAGCGGTCAGCTCCCTTGCGCTGGCCCCAGTTCACTTTCTGCGGCGTCTGCCCCCCTGCCAGCCCCCGGAACCATCAGTTCGCACCTGCGCAAAACCGCACCGATGCATCCGACCTCCGCCTCGAGTCCCACTTCTTGCAAGGTGGGAATGGTGCTGAAGCCTCAACCCTGGGCTGTTTCTCCTACCCAGCCTGCGTTGGGCCCCTCCGGGCAACCCTGGGGTAGGGAAGGGACTCGGGGCGTGACGGGGCTTGCTCTCCTGCCGCAAACCAGCGTCGGCGGAGGACGAAACCTCCTGCTGATGGCACTGCTTAAGCAGAAGCGACCTAAGCAACCCGTAGGCACGAGGCGAGCTTGGAGCCAGGCTCGGCTTGGCGCACAGGCTGCTCTCCTGCGCACTGACCGTGCTGCGACCCAGGCAGCAAACTGCCCCAGCCCCACCCCGGGCTGCTGCTCCTGCTCTCGAGCGTGCAGCGGACAGGATAGTCGCCCCCCCCCGCCCGCCCCCTGCCCAAAAAAAACAAAAAAAAAAATGAAGCGGGATGGGTTGTTCCTCCTCCCTCACTCAGCAGCCAGTAAACCACGGCCTGCCAGGCCGCCAGGTCCCGCGGGCAGAGCCTGCCTCTTGCTGACAAACACGGCCCTTTCCCATCCCCGTCGCTCAGACACGCACCGGTTCACTAATAGTTACCTCCTTCAAAAGACGCCTGCCTGCGTCCTTCTGAAACGACCTTAAAGAGGAGCGTCTTCCCTTGCACGCAGAAGTAGTTGAGGCTCACCACCTGCAGAAACAAACGTCACCCAGCAGAGGAGCAGTTCAAAGCCAGGCTTACACGAGAGATTTATCCGTTTACATCTACATCTACGGGGACGTGTGTGTGTGTGTGTGTTTCCACGGACCCCTCCACCTGCCCCAACGGAGATGCCGTTACTTTACGTAAGGGTATTTTTTTAGGATCGGTACTGCTTGTTCCGCCGCCGTATGATTGTACTGAAACACGTCTGGTCCCTGTGATGCTTTGAGGGCTGGAAATTCTTGCGTACTTCCCCAGCACGGTTAAAAACAAACCACACAGAAGTAACGATTACAAATATACAACTTTAAAAAATTACTGTTAAAGATTTATTGCAATAATACAATAAAATTTAGAAAAAAAAAAACAACCCAAAACATTTGTGTTTAGTTACATCTAGTTCGGAAGTTGCAGAGAGAGGCCCCGAGTTTTTGCAGGTGACAAGCAACCCCTGGGTTTCCCACCTGAGACCCTTCAAAGGCGCCTGATTTTCAGCACAGGGCTGGGCTCCCGAAATCAGGTTCTTCCTTGGCAGCTCAAATCGGCCACCCCAGGTCACTGGTCACGGGCAAAAGTCACGGCCCTCAACTGAAATTCCCGCATTCACGCTACGCAAAGTGTTTTGTAAACTCTCAGCCGGCTGTCTTCAAATACCCATAATTACAGATATTCCTGCCCTCCCTCCCCCGCCCCCAAAGCAACCTGGAAAAACCAATCCTGGCGATTGCACTCAAGGTTCGGACAGACACAAGCCTTCCTCAGCTACACGTGTGCAAAACACTTTAAAAAAAAAACAAACAAACAAACAACCAAACACAACCAACCCACAATCTGTATTCTGTTACAAAAGCGTTTCGTGAAAAGACCGATCCCAACGCATTTTAACACCCTCGCGGTGCCGCTGTGCACTTTCAGAATATGACACGGTTGCAAATAAATTACTTGGAAAACATGGCGGTTACGAAGTATATGGCTTGAAAAGGGTTTTTGTGTCGGGTTTTTTTTTCCTAAGTAAGTAAAATGACAGCGTACAAAGCTGAAGCACGGCCTGACCTTTGGGGGTTCAAAGTGTGACTGAAATGCGTATTAAAAACAAACAGGGAAAAAAAGAATAGAGAAGATATTTATATGGCGGGGTCCAGTGCAAAATAAACGGGGAACCAGAAGGGGCTGTGCGACGCCAAGAGCCCGATATACAGTACTGGTGAGTGTGTGCTGGTTGCTCAGAACTGCAAAGGATCCGATAGCTGCGAGTGAGTAAAGTGCT